TTCATTCACTCCTTCTCGGCAATTACGTTTTTAACCATTGTAATTATTAACAAATGTCTACCCGGCCCCACTTTTTCTTTAGAATACTACCTCCTCCAATACACATAAATACGTCATCATGATATCCTCTAGTGAAAAATAGTGTTAAGTCATTATGATTTCATGTCTGTAAAATGTTGAGATCCTGACCTCCGAAAAGACAATCGTCACCATTTCATCAGTGTAGTCTCGCTCTTTGAAAACCAGAGTATATATTCTCAGGGAAGAGAATAACACAGACATGCTTAAAGGCCCTCTTTTACTTATCAATGTGGATATATAAACACTATAAATATGTCAGTGATCTCTGCAAAATCAAATAGCAGTAACAGCGAGGACAGGATCATTAGAGGCTGTATCGTCTCATTTAATAAAGAGTACTAGGGGAACCCAATTGCTGACTAAAAATTTAAGCAAAAACGTCAGAGGATTATATAAGTAATTCTACCTATGTTTACTTAGTGATATTACATATTCACTTATTCAATTCTTTCTTGTAACAAATATCTAGTAAACATCTACTCTGTTCAGACCCTGATCTACTTTTTTTTGCTTTTATTTCCCTAAAAATAATCCTCCCTTAAATTCCATGAATTTCTAACCATTCTCTCCTTTAACGTCCATCAGTAGACATGGGAATTTGTAAAAATTCTTCTTCCATTTGGATAGATGGGAGCACACTTCCTTCTGGACTTGGTTTTGAATAGAAGAGGAAAACCACCACAATATATCATAATAGCTTTGAGAGCACTGATCACAACTTCAGAAATGGAGACATGTTTCAGCCAATATTGTCCTGCTGTATTTTATGCTTCCTGAGCTGCTGGTTAGACTTCATATTAAGAAAAGGCCCCTCCTCATAAAGTCAGAGTTGCCAAGGCTTGCTGGGAAGGTACCTAGCCCTGCAGAGCCAAGGCCTTATCTCAAAGGATAAGGTGGAGTTTGCTCTTTTCCCCTATTGCAAAATATGAGAATATTAAGTAATCTGTTTATATCATACAGATCCAAAATCTTGGCTGGCTTTTTTATGGATAAAACATCCATAGGATTTCCTTCTGTTTAGAAAAAGCTACCTGGGGCTCTTTCTTCAGATCTCAACCCTGGTTCACCCAGTAAAACCTGGCCAATTTCCTCTAAATGTGTTCAAAATGAAAACTTAGTGTTTGTTCCTTATGGCCAACATTTCTGGGTCATTCGGGTGATGTCCATTACCAATTTGTCATCTACGGACCAATTCTGTGGAAGTGCCAAGGCTGGAGCTGGAGTCTTTTGGTACAGAACCAAGTAGGAGTATCTGATACTATGAAATTTTCACATGAGTTTATCCACAAAAAAATGTTAACTTTACAAAACTATACAGGCGTACATATACACTGATACAAGGTAACAATGAAAGAACAGATATAAAAGCTTCTCTTTATTTTAAAGATTAAAGTGCCACTTGGTTGCCTTTTAAAAAAAAAAAAAGTATCTCTTTAAATCATTAACACAAATGCACACGAAGGGAATTATGTGAAAATGAGGTGTAGGTCTTTAAATATATCCCACATAAATTCATTATTTAAACAGAAGATGACTCCTCTTCTGACTCACTCTATTCTCAGTGAGCTTTGCAGTTGATGGTTTTCTACTGAGTTTTTAGACCGTGGATTAAGCACCATGCCACCCACAGAGAGAAAAGTTGAACCAGGTGAACTCAGGGCGTGGTTGGAAGGCTCAGTCTGTCTCCCCTTCACAGAACGACAGCAGTAGAAGAACTGTGAGGCAGCATCTGGCCCTGCTCACCTTCAGGCTGAGCTGAATCCTATGATCACAAATTAAGAGACCCTAAAAAGACTTTTAAAAGCATGAACATTTCAAAGTGACTAGAGCTACTGGATCTTAAGTCACCCTCATAGTCGCTTATTGGGAGCATATCTGATTTGTGCAAATTACTTCAAAAAACAAAATTTTAGGGGCGCCTGGGTGGCTTAGTCGGTTAAGCGTCCGACTTTCGCTTAGGTCATGATCTCGCGGTTCTTGGGTTCGAGCCCCGCGTCGGGCTCTGTGCTGACTGCCAGCTCAGAGCCTGGAGCCTGTTTCAGTCTGTGACTCCCTCTCTCTCTGACCCTCACCTGCTCACACTGTCTCTCTCTCTCTCTCTCTCTCTCTCCCCTAGAAATAAATAAAACATTAAAAAAAATTGGAAAAAAAATTTATTTTAAGTTTACTTTTGCCAAGTGTGCTGCATTATATTTCAACCATGTTTACCCTAGAAGCAAGAGAAATAACTGCATGGATATAAGGAAACATTTAATAATACAAATGAAAGGTGGTCCAGCCCTTTGCCCTTGGGATTTCTGATCCTTAAAACTGGAGCATCTACTTCTGCCATGATACTACCAGAAACTCAACCACTTCAGAACAAAGATGAAAGTTTGCTTTCCTTCAAATATGCCCTTCTCTATGCAGTGAACACTATGAGATGGACTCATGTCCTTGAGGAAAATATTCCCTCTCCAACTATGAATCCTCTTTAGAGGTGTCGACAGTTTTCATTCCCAACCACTGAGACCATGAATAAGCCATAAACCCATCTATTTCAACTTCTTTATACTTCACATGGAGTCACTATACAATCTAAGTGATGTCACCCCCACAAGATGAAGCCAGGTGAGGAAAATGGGAGGGTCTACTAAGAGGGCACCAAATTAGAAACAGAAAGTCCCAAACTGCAGTTTCAAGACTCGTACTGGAGAAGAGCCTGCACTGGTGGGTAGTCTCCACCAGATAATGACACCATAAGCAACCATCTTATAGGGTCTCAAAATTCAGGAACGGGCATCTAGAGAAACATGCCTCAAAAGAAGTATAATCAGCTCAGACTCCAATCAACGTGAAAGATAATCATGACAACAGAAGTCTTCTCAGAATACAAAAATATACAAAAACCATGAGGCAAGTTCAATCATCTCAAAGCCAAACAATTTTACAGATGTTTCTACCACGTTTTATTGTCTTTTTGCTTCTTCTTAAAGAAACCTGACTACAGATTTGAGTGCTATTCATGGCATTTGTGCTTGAAAATCGAGCATAATACTTTAGGAAATAAACTTAGTGAAGGCCTTAAGAAATCCATGTATTAATATCCTACTGCAGTGGAGTGCTGTCAATCCTACAGACCTTACAAACCCAAGAAGTGAATTACATTTCCTGTGAACTTAGCAAGAACATTATTCTCAAGGAACACACACACATACACACACACACAGAGTACATCTCATTCCCAAGCCTTCCCACTGATTTTTCTAATTTAATTGTCCTGAAAGTATATGTTCATTCAATCCTACAATATTTCTCACATTCATATGCTATAACTTTAAGATTCTTATCTCAGAAGGGGAAAAATAGTTGGGGAGAGGGAGGGAGGCAAACCATGAGAGACTCTTGAATGCTGAGAACTGAGGGCTGATGGGTGTGGGGGGTGATGGGCATGGAGGAGAGCATTTGTCGGGATGAGCACTGGGTGTTATATGGAAACCAACTTGACAATAAACTATTTAAGAAAAAAAAAAGGTTGTTTTCTCCTCATTAATACTGGGACAGTGGCAAAGTCACCACAATGGAGTCTTAACACAGAGGCACAAGAATCTTAAGACAAAAGTTTTACTACTTTGCTCTCACTAACTTGACATTTTCCCACAGTCATGTTGTAAAAGTGCAAGGAACCCATAAAACAATATGAAAGAAAATACTGTAGTTTCCTTTTTCCTAAGTTACTTGGGCATCAAATTCTTATTAGTCAGAGTCCAGAGCATAAGTGAGGAAAGGAGGGAAATGGGGGGTGAGGAGACTACACGATCAAAAGAAACATAGTAAGCAAACGTGAGAAACATCATAATGGCCACACTATTCCAACTATTCCAGGAGGCACAAAAGCATCACGTGCCCAGGACCTGGTCTTCAGTCTGGTCGAAGGATCACTCCAGAACACACAGTATTCTTTTTTCCAACCCCCACCCCCACCCCACTGGTCCAAGTTTTGGGTAGGCATTAGATGCTCACCAAATCGTACCAATCAGGCTAGAGCTTCCAAAACACGTATGAATTGTCTCTCAGGTGATTTTAAAGGGCAGAATTTATGACATAGTTCATGTGCAAGCTTCATTTCACTTTAGGAGTGCTATCTACAACTCTCATTAATTTTTTAAATCTCTTTGTAAATATAATACCTTGTATATCTGTGATTCCCTCACATTATTACTTTAATAAATATTAATTAAGCCCTATCTTCTCACTATCAAATAAACAGTATTATTCCCACATTACTGATAAGTCCAAAGACAAGAAAAGAGAGGCACACTGAAAGCATAATAGCACTAACTAAAATTTAACTCTCATTTGGTTTTTTACAGACACTGGGAAACATTAACAAAAGAGGTCCTGGAGGTTTTTTAAGTAAAAAATGTTTGTCCATCATTTCCTAACTGAAACGCATCCATGATCACCCCTCTTTCTGTCCTCAGTTTACACCCATTTTTGCTGCAATAATGATATCGTTCTCCTTCTACAACATCTGTTTCTCTACCCTGCAAGCTGTAAGAAAGAATATCAGAAGATGCTGCCAAGTACATTGAGATAAATCTAGCAGCTTCTTTGCATTAGTCACTGCAAGGTGGTAACTATCCAGAAAAACATTTATTTCTGACGGAAAGGCATGGCTACCATAGGCACCTGCTTCAAAAGTAAAACATCCCCCTTTTGTTAACCATGCAGGACCACACCAATTCAGATTCCAATGGTCCAATGAAGTTCTTAAAATGACTTTCTGTGTTGAGGCAAAATGTGCAGACTAACAAAACTCCATAGAAAAGCTTCAGTTTTTAACTTCCAGAATATAAGATATATGAAATGTATGGGTGCTATTCTCTACAAAGACATGAGTGTATGAACATATACCTCCCCAGCCCCATGAAGCTCACCTTCTACTTCTTCTTCATCACACACATGTTTAAGGAAGGAGGCTCCTCTGTCCAGGACAGCTTCATCCTCCATCCTATAGTAATAAAAAAGAAAAAAAGAATGCTCAGACTTCTCCTGGAGTGAGCCACTTGAAGTAGCCCAGCTTCTGGGCAGGTTAACCTGCAAGCTGCTGTTCATGTTAACAGGGCAGAGTCCCTCTTCCTTTGGTGTCTGCTACTCCTTCACGCAGCTCCTCTCATCTGGTGCTTGAGAATATGCCGGTCCCACATAGCTTCAGTTCTAACCTTGAGAGGGCACCCACATGGACAGGTGAGAGAAAATCATCTCAATCCCATAGGCTGGAGGTTAGGGGTGCTCCCTTTGGGATTTGCAAGAAGGAAAAAAAAAAGATGAAAGCAAAAAAAAAAAAAAAAAATACCAAGAGAGGAAGTTTGGTTTGTCTGGAGTGCTCGTGATGATCGTTTGTGGAAATCCAGCTTCAGTGCTTAGCTCTTTAAACACCCACTGCATAAAAATGTATACCCTCACACACACACACACACACGCACACCCACCCACACACAGAAAACGACAGGGAGTTAGGCTAGTGCACAGTGGGAGCCTAGCTTCCAGCCAGCCTCTTAATACCAGCACAGCCCAGTATTCTCTGTTGAGTGGCAAGCTTTGAGTCACATGTTGGCCTTACGGAAATCTGACATCTGAGGATTATCCAGCAACCCGGCTTCAGCAACAGTCACATATATATGCCACCCATTCATTCATTTTCCACATTCTTATCACACGTCCCTACGTATATCTGTCCTGTTAACTCTTCCCTGAAGGGCACAAAGTTCTTCGGTTTATAGCCACAGTATGCTGTCCTCCTATCTCCTTACATAATAGGATCTGCTCTGCAATTTCATATGCTAAATAAGACCTCAGAATCCATCCAAGTAATGACAGCGTTTGTACGGCCTCTTGATGCCAAACATGTTTCTTAGTTTATAGAAGGAGTTAAGGTTTATTTCCATACTCTGTGACTTCTTTTCATTGCATTAACTTTGACATGCAGAATTCCATGAACTCTGTTTATAGTGAAAGCAGAAAAAAATCCCGAATTGCTCAAATGCTGCTTGTGTCGCACCGGTCTAGAAACAAAGAACTTTCTCTGGAGACAGCTGCTCTATGTCATACCATACGTAAGCTCTGCCAGAGAACCAAATGTTCACTCTGTATTCTATTCATCCAATTATATGCTCAGGCACTGAATATTGTAAGTCTGTTTTCCATATTGTCTGTATAACTTATTCTTATGCCTCAGATATTTGTTATAATCTATGTGGATATGCACTGAATTCACATTTTCCTCTTTTCTATTTTAGGAGCATGTCCATCTTGCAGACAACTATCTGAGCATAAAAAGTCAGAAATTCGGTGTCAGGTAGACCTGGGTTTAAAAAACCAAGCACTACCACTTAATATACGTATCACCTGGGGCAAAGTATTTCACTCTTTGAGCCTCAGTTTTTCCACCTAAGAAACTGGGGTAACAATATCAACCTTGCAGGATCATGGTGAGACTCAAATTAGGTAACGTACATGAAAACATTCAGTTTTGTGCCTTGTGCCTACTACATGTTTAATAAAAGTTTCCTTCCTTTATTCTTTCCTTCTCTCTTTTTACACTGACCTTTACTGGTAAACAGTGCCATTAAGAAACTCATTACCTCTGGGGCACCTGGGTGGCTCAGTTGGTTAAGCATCTGACTTCTGCTCAGGTTGTGCTCTCACAGTTCCTGAATTTGAGCCCTGCATCGGGCTCTGCTGAGAGCTCAGAGCGTGGAGCCCGCTTCGGATTCTGTTATCTCCCTCTCTCTCTCTGCCCCTCCCCTGCTCACATTCTGTCTCTTTTTCTCTCTCTCAAAAATAAATAAACATTTTTAAAAATTAAAAAAAAAACTCATTACCTTTGGACACCTGCAGAATATCTTCTTTTCGTTTATCCTGATATATGTCTTTTTCCTTCTCTATACTCAAACTAAAATATAAAACTAATTGCAAACAGGATATAAATCAGCCATAAGGATTATAGTGGAAAATAAAATGTCTTGAAACTTGAGAAGTCAAATGATTTACCAGCCTCCCTGAGCCTCAGCTCTCCATGAAGATTAAATGATACAACATATTTACCAATTCAACAAATATTTAGTGTCTGCCATATTCCAGGCACTCCTCAGAGGGAGGGGGAATATATTCATTAATATGACAGATAAAACTCCTAATAAAATAATAATAAATAGATGAACAAGGTAAACTTAGATAGCCTTAAGTGCTTTGCACAAGGTAAAATGAGGCAGGGGTTATTTGGCATAAGATGGTTCAGAAGAGGCTTCCAAGGAGGTGACATATGAGAAGAGACAAAAATGACAGGGAGGAACCAGGCATTTGAAAATGTGAATGCAGTGTTCCAAGCAAAGGGAGCAGCAAATGCAAAGACCCTAAGGTAGGAACAAGTTTAGCAAGTTCCAGGATGAGAAATGAGGTCAGTGAGGCTGGACAGAGAGAAGGTCAACAGTAGTTGACAATACTGGAGGAAATAGGCCTGTGCAGGTGAGTAATCAAAATTTTAGGCGTTATGGAAGCCACTGAAGAATTTTGTTGTGTTTTTTGTTTCACTTTGTTTTATGAGGTAAAACTGACATATAACATGATATTAGTTTCAGATGTACAACATGATTCAATTTTTGTGTATATTGCGAAATGATCACCACAGTAAGTTTAGTTAACATCTGTCACCACACAGTTACAAGCTTTTTGTCTTGTGTTGAGAACTTTTAACATCTACACTCTTAGCAACTCTGAAATATGCAGGACAGTATTACTAACTATAATTAAGAGTTTTAAGATAGAAAGTAACCCAAGCCATTTTACCTTTTTCAAGAATCATTCTGACTGCTATGTGAAAAGTGGATAATCAGGAGACCAAAGAATCCAGGAAACTATCTTTGGAACCCAAGGAAGGCTGTGGGAGACACGAATTTGGGGAAGGTATCAACACTTCCTTCCTGGCCACTTTACAGAGGAGAGGTTTATTTTATATGAAAATGGAGCCGTTGGGTACACAGCTAAATGCCCAAGTCTGGAGCTCAGGAGCCTAGGGCTGGAGAATCCAAGAACAAAGCTGATAATCTGCGCCTATTACTGGATGAGCTCTTGCAGAAAGAAAATATAGACATCGAGGTGCAGACCAAAGACCAAGGGCTGGAGCATTTATAAGCAGAGCAGAGGAGCAAAGTCAGAAGTAAAAGAAAAACTAGAAAAGAGTGGTGTTGAGGAAGTACTGCTACTAAGAGGCTGAGAAAGTTAGAGACAGAGAAGTAACCATCTTGACTTGGCAACATGGAGGTCATTGGTGACAATGACCACAGCTACTGAAACATGCCGAACACAGTGCTAGACACACAGAAGGCATTCAATCAAATCCTCTTCTCTTTCCTCCCTCATCCCCTCATTCATTTGGCAAATATTTACTGAGTACCTACTAGGTGCCAGGCATACTGCTAGACACTGGAGACACAGTGATGAGCAAGACAGATAAGGGCTCTGCTATAATCACATCTGCCTTCTTGGAGACTTCCCCTAGCAATCTGGGACAGTCAGTGCAAAGGGCAAGAGGTCATCAGCAACACAGTATTTGTATACATAGAGAAGGATGGCGGCTTACTGGGGAAACTTTTTTAAAGACCTCAGAAGCACAGCAAATTTCTGGAGGGCCGTACTACTGCAGGCATGTTAATAGTACTGTCTCCCCTTTGGAAAGCAAAGAGTAGTTTAGCCCACATTTCTTCTCAGCACTAACCCTTTCCTGTCTTATCGGTCTATAGAATCCAACAATTTCCTGTAGAACATCTCTTCTGCACCCCACCACAATCAAGCTGATCCTAAAGGTCTTTCAGCGACATGTTATGCATTTTCTAAATAAAATGTTTGGCCTCTGCACCCAAGCCCTTCCTAAAATCGCATGCAACAGGCAACTGACGCAGAAGTAAAGGAAGAAAATCAGTAGCTACTGAAGGAGACCAACGGAAGTTTACTGCCCAGAGCCCTCTTCCTAGGCTGAGGAACCATCAGCCTAACTGAAGCAGTGTCTCGTGCACCATCTGAGGTAGCGAAAATAATGATGGGTGCATTCCTTGGCTCTTTGATACATATTTCACATTCCCTCCAAGACTATACATAGCAAGTAACCAGAAACCTAGTTCCTTCCGAGGGACAATGCAGAGCATCGGGAAGCAGCCTCTTCCCTGTAGGAAGCGGAAAAAAAGAGCGCCACAAACTGAAAACATAAAACCTGCGTGTCACAGGGGCCTTTTTCCAAAGCAGCCCTCTCCTCCTCACGACCAAGTGCATCTGCACCAAGTTACAGGGGACTGTCCAACTTTCTTCCGTCTTCATACTAACAAACGTCAATTATTTGGGTTTGTGTTCCCCTCCTAAAAGCCTCTCAGCAGTTGCTTGCTATTATTAGTAAGACTGAGATATCTTTTTAAAACATGACTGTCTGACCCAACCAGTTTTCCCTTCTATCAGGAGGAAGAAATTAACTCATCTAATCCCTAAGCAGGCCCTCAAATCCATTTGTAAAGTCTTCCTTTCACACAAGGTGCCTCTGCCGAAAACAAAGAAAGAAGGGAAGGAGCATGCTTCTAAAACAGCTCCCGGGGTTGCTCACATCGCCAGCATGAGGCAAAGTTCAGAATAGACTTGGAAGCTTCTCACCAGCATCACGGGGATAAGGGTCACACCAGTCAGTATAAAATCCACACGGGGCCAGTGCTGCCTTCCTTCCACAGGGCCTCTGAGAGTAGCAGTCAGACCCCTTCCTCCAAAGTCCACACCCAACGTGGGGTTTCTCTTATTCTCCGTTATTCTGGGACACTAACATGATTTAACTGTAACACATGTCAAATCTGCTGCCAAATGGACCGGCTTTCAGCAGCCGGTCCTAATCACCGAGCAGGCTTGTAAGGGTGACTTAAGCCCGGCACGAGAAACATTTGTGCAAAACTGTCAGCCATTGGGCCTCGGGCACC